CCCCAAAACCCCAAAACCCCATGATACTGGTAAGTTCATAAAATAATTGATAATCGAAATTTGAGTAATTAAATTAGTTCTTTAATTAGTACTATTTATGTCTTTATTTAAGAACATTTCACAGCTAACAATCACCGCCCATTTTCATAATCAAACTATTAGACTGAATGTTTATCATTTCAGCAGCTGTGTTTCTATCTTCTTTGTTTGATTTTCTTTCTTTACCAGAAATCATCAAAAAGCTCTGTCCATGTAAGGAATCAATTGGTACTACAATCATATCATAGATACTTTCAAACTAAGTTGACTCATAATAGCCATTAAATCCAGCTGCGATATCATACTTTAAAATATAGTTATTCGACTAAGAAATCAAGAGCTGGTTGTTTTCCTTAGAGAGTATGATCTTATTTATAGTAAGTCCTCTAGTAACTGGATATATTTTCACTAGTGTTTAAATGTCATCAAAATATAGCCACTTGAATACACCTATACCATTAACTCCTGTATAAAGTGCTAGTGTAATTTGATCATAAGTTATTGTAGAAATCTGATAATTTTGAATTTGATCTGAATGAAACAGCTTTGCTTTGATCAATATTTTGCTTTTATTTTAGTCAAGCTATATAATGTATACATTCGAATCAGATGCTCCAATAGCAATAGTTGTATCATTTATTTTACAAAGGCAATTTATTTTAGAGTGAACTTTCAAGGTATTTTCTGTATTTCTCGTGCTTAAATTGAATAAACTTATATTTCCATTCATCTCCGCTATAATAAGTTTCCCAATACTTGGCAGATATACTGTCTCGCTTACACATTGATTTATTTTAGAAAGAGACTCAAATTTATACTCATCTAATTATCCATTCATTAGTGAACTCATCTTTAGTAAAATCAGGCCTTGACTATGAGAAATTACTACTAAATCTTTGGTTTTATCACTAAGAATGTGATTTATTTGAGATTGCTCAGAAATAGCTTTATGATAAGCTCTACTACAGTTAACAAGCTCTAAATCTTTGGGAAAAGTAGGTGCATCTATGTTTGAGTTAAAATTCTTGGAATCTGAGGGATTTCCCCAATCATCACTAGGCATTGGTACATCTTAACCGCTTAGATTGTGTATACTTTACTCATACTTGTGTTTTATATTGCCAACATTCCACATATATAAATCACCAAACTATGTCCCAGCTAGTATTTGGTCTTAGCCTTCAAGCAGACACATTGTAGTTATTCTAATATTTTTGGCAGTCATTAAATCTAAAATATTATACTAAAATAATGAGTTTATGTTTTTATTAAGGGGTTTTGGGGTTTTGGGG